TCAGCATCAAGGGAAGGGCCTTCTCCTGAATCTTGGAGGGCTTTTGGTAGTTGAGGGAAAGAAGACCACGAAGAATCTCATCGCGACTGTACAATCGCGTATTAGAAACCTGCAAGTATTCGACTCGACTGTGCACTCACAGGTTCATTTCGGAAAAGGTTGAGACCGAATAGAGAGTACTGTTCTGGTCGGACTGGAGGTCGCCCAGCTTGACGTCGACATCGTAGGTATTCTCGATAAGGCCAGAGTCTGCAGCTCCGTCGGCCTGAGGGACTTCAGCTTCCTGAGCTTCCTGGACTGCCTGAGTAGCTTCCGGGGCCGCGCCCTCGGCCGGTGGCTCTGTGATGCGACTAGCAAGGTCGGCCATCGTGACTGAGGATAGGCGCGGTCAAGTGTGAGTTCTAAAGGAGAGGCATTAAAAATCGACTATATAGCCAGCTGCAATAGTCGAAAGTCTTACTTGGCGGTTTGTCGAGGGTTGGTGGCAGTCAAAGGGAAGTAGCGGTATGATCAGCCGTCACCTGTGCGGCTTCAACAGCAGGTTAGCGAATGGCAACTTCACGAATCTGGAGAGGAAACTCAATTGGGGAGAGAGAAGGCCGGAAGCAGAACGATGAATTGACTTACATGCGATTGGGCTGGTCTTCCTTCGCGTGGTTGTGTAAACCGGGCAGTTCAGTCGGGGAATTTAGTTTGTTTTGCGATGACGGATTTGGAGCTTCCAAACCAAAATTAATTCTAGGAAGCTACGTCGTCTGTCACTCCTGCCTGTGACTGAGCACTCCAAACCGATGGCGGGGCTACGCGGGGCATTTTTGTCGCCTAACAACCAAGGCCTGAGTCAGGAACGGAAAGCGCACCTTCCTACCGACATTCAACCGGCAAGGGTGGCTCAAGAGTGCGCCTACCTTAGCTGAAGTTGGAGGTAGGTGGCTGAGGTAAGGCAAAAGGAAGGAACCCAGAAGTCATGGCTTCTTCTACCTTAGGTAAGGTACCTGATCATTGATGTACCTTCCATAGTTTTTGGGCGTAGCACGTGACATGACTTCCGATCTGCTACGGCCAAACACATACTTGAGCCCAAGAGCTTCAGGTCATTGGGGTTGCCCTGTTCACGGGCCATTCTTTTCATTGGAGTACGACGTCATTCATGCAATCAGCAGTGTGTGATGTTGATTGAGCCTTGAGGTGAATACCAGCACACGGCATGGAATTATTCAATCTCCGGCGCATCCATCGAGCATAGCAAACCCAGTAGACTTTCGTGCAGCTTGGGGAACCCGAATCCGAAACCCCTGTACTCAGGCACCAATGGCACCAATGAGTGGATTTCGCAGCAGGCGACTGGTCCGCTACCCCACCACAGGCCTCTTCAGCGTGCAAGAACACCCAGAGCATTTGCGCTCCCTCCAAACCTCCAGCCTCCAGGTACCTTACCTAGTGGACCGAGCAGCCGGAGAAACACACCAGTGCAGCAAAGGAAGGTTCCAGTTGGCCAAGGGGAAGAGCTGACGACGTCTCCGTCCGATGCCAATGCCCCCAAGCATCCGACCTCAATGTACCTCTACAGCCAATACACTCGCCAGTGATACATCGAAATTCTTCCAAGGTTTGGTTGCGTGAGCAGCGCAGCACAGCACAGCCTGACCTCTTCTGTCCCTTTGTCACTGATGAAGATCATCGTCTCGCCGAACCTCTATCCACCCGTGTCACCAAGGTGAGGCATACACCTTTATCTCAGGTATTCGCTGTACATATCATTCGGGCGGCCTCGCCTCCTGCTAGCATTCATCTACTCTTTCTGCCCAGTTTTCTCCCAGTTTTAACCGTTTTGGCGGGGTTAGCCTTATACGACTGCTCCCCCACCGCCGACCTCCTGCTCGGGCCGCAGCCCACCGTTGGCGGTTTGTCCTCTTCTTGTTCTCGCTCCTTCGGAGGATTCCATCACGAATCCCTCTCCCGCCTCCTCCCAACAATACCTCTGGCCGCCGCACTCAGTTTAGACTGACCTGTTGGATCCCCAACCTTTGCATGCTGTTTCAACAGCATAAGTCTGGGCAATGGCGGACGTAGATGTTGCGCCGACCTTCGGCGCTGAGCTCAAGGTCCGTATTCCGCGCGCAGTTTCCCCCGCGGCTTGGCTTGGCCCCTCCAGACGCTGACATGTCCTTTAGGATGGCTTCAAGCCCGCCAACGCTTGGGTTGCTCACGGCATATCCTGGCTCGACGAAATACAGCAATTCTACCGCGAAAGGAGTGCCATCGAAAAGGAATATGCTGCGAAGCTCAATGCCTTGGCCAAGAAGTACTTCGAAAAGAAAAACAAGAAGTCAGCGCCTCTCAGCGTCGGCGACACCCCCGCCATGACACCAGGTTCTCTCGAAAGCGCTTCCTTGACTACCTGGTCTACGCAGCTTACTACACTCGAATCCCGAGCCGACGAACACGATCGATACGGCAACAACCTCCTCTCTCAAGTGGCTGAACCCCTCAAGTTCCTCGGCACCCGTTTCGAAGAGCTGCGTAAGCGCCATGCCGACTATGCCGGCAAACTCGAACACGAAAGGGACTCTCAATACGCGGACCTGCGCAAGACAAAGGCCAAATACGATGCTGCTTGTCAGGAAGTGGAAAGCAAGCGCAAAAAGTCTGAATCGTCCTTTGACAAGGCCAAAGCGCAGAGCGCCTATCAGCAGCAGATTCTAGACATGAATAACGTCAAGAACACATACTTGATCGCAATCAATGTCACTAACAAGCAAAAAGAGCGGTACTACCATGACTACGTTCCCGAGGTCATGGACAGTCTGCAGGACTTGGCTGAGTTCCGTACCATGAAGCTGAATGGTCTGTGGACGGTCGCATCCCAACTGGAAGCGGCTATGCTGGAGAGCAGTAAAGGATTGATGCAAAAGCTTGCAACCGAGATTTCCAGAAACCAGCCTCACCTCGACTCTATGATGTATATCCGTCACAACCTCGGCGCATTCCACGAGCCACCAGACAAGGTTTTTGAGCCTAGTCCCGTATGGCATGACGACGACTTGATGATTGTAGACGAATCCGCCAAGATCTATCTCCGTAACGTACTCAGTAAATCGAAAGCTCATCTCGGAGACCTGCGCAGAGAGGTTGACAAGAAAAGACGGGAGGTTGAGGGTATCAAACGTATAAAGCAAAGAATACGAGAGGGCACCGAGAAGAAGGATGAAGTTCTTGTGGTTACGCAAATTTTCGCCTTGCAGGAAGATCTCCACGCCGTCGACAGGCGGAGAGTGACCGCTGAAGTCGAGACGTCCACCATTACCTCGGCTGTGGGAGATGTGACACTTGGAGCGAAGAACCATAACTTCAAGGCGCAAACCTTCAAGATTCCAACAAATTGCGACCTTTGCGGTGAAAGAATATGGGGATTATCAGCCAAAGGCTTTGACTGCAGGGACTGTGGCTATACGTGTCACAACAAGTGCGAGATGAAGGTTCCAGCCGACTGCCCAGGCGAGCAGACGAAGGATGAACGAAAGAAGCTCAAGGCCGAACGCCAAGAGGCTGCCAATTCGCTGTTGAAACCGACCGCGTCCTCTCCAACCGTCGCAACAGATTCGCCGACCCTAACGAGATCGAATACGATGAACTCCTTGAGTTCAGGATACGCGCATAGCGCACGTCGGTCGATCACTGGGGGCCCGACATCGCCGATAGATGAGGTTCCTCCTGAGCCATCGACACCCCGCCCAGCTGCTCCTGCGTCGACCGTAAGCTCTACTACGGCCCGTAAGAGGGTCATGGCCCCGCCGCCAGCGGCCTATATCAGCGAACTACCTGGTAGCGCGCCGAATGGGTCGGGCTCTCCAGACCAGCAGAAGGGCAAGATGCTCTACACCTTTGAGGCTAGTGGCGACGGTGAAGTATCTGTAGTCGAAGGCCGGGAAGTTACAATGCTAGAACCTGATGGTATGTTTTCATCCTCGCCAGATTTACTCCCATTTGCTAATAAACTTTCAAAGATGGCACTGGCTGGGTCAAGGTGCGCGCAGGATACAAAGAAGGCATTGTGCCCGCCAGCTATGTCGACTGGGCACCACCATCGCCCATGGTCGCGCAGAACACCGGAGCGTCCGCCCGGCCCGAGTCGACGTACTCCAACTCTGGCTCCTCGATTGGGACAGCGGGACCGAAGAAGAAGGGGCCGGCAGTCGCTCCGAAGCGCGGAGCCAAGAAACTCAAGTACGTGGAGGCGTTGTACGAGTACACGGCGCAAAGCGACGCAGAGCACAGCATGACGGAGGGCGAGAGATTTGTCCTCATCAAGGACGATCCGGGCGACGGTTGGGCCGAAGTCGAAAAGGGCGGCGCAACGAAGAGCGTGCCTGCAAGCTACGTCCAGGCAGTCTAGGAGTCGTGTGCTCAGAGACGAAGAAGTTATAGGACGTTGAAGCCGCCTGCTGCGGCGGCGGCGGAGGACATTGTGCTGCGAGACATTCCACAGATGCCGCAGAAGCACGTTACGCAACAAAAGGGGTTTGAGACGGAGAGAGAGGGTTATCGAGAGCCGCCTCGAGCAGCGGATCCTGCGGCAACGTTTTACCCGGAACGCGTGACCAGCGTCCGACTGGTGAAGCGGAATCAGAGCCAGAGAGAGCGGCGGAAATCGAAGCTGGACGATGTCGCTGCGTATCGGAGATCGAGAGAACGAAGTAGCATAGGTTAAGGTGCATACATTCAGTGCTCTGTACTCTTTTTTCTACATATAAGTCGGCGGGAGTCGAGTTGGAGCATCAGGAGGGGGCTCAATTCCGGGGTTTTTTTTTTTGAAGTAGTTGAAAATAGCAAAGCATTCTTGTTTTTCGCCCCCATCATTGCGAATAGATTCATTCGCATGGTGTTTCACCGTGTACGTGTGCTAGGTTTGACAGTAATGAAAGTGTTCTGACCACCTTGTTAGACAGAAACGTCAAATGTACCTGTCAGTGTCACCAAAAATCCAAAAATTCAGGGCGTCACTGGTGATTCTCATCCCCTCTGCAAGGACTCGGCGGCATCGTCTCCCCTACCAGGAGTTGAGATCGTGGCCCATTCCGTTTGCGGTCAAAAGGCAAAAGGGGAGCGAGCAGAAGGGGGGGAAAGGGGATCGGGGAGATCCCAACCGGCCCTCCCGCTGCCAGTAACGCGGGCACCCGCCAGCCAGGGCATGGCCATTCCAGTTCGCTGCAAGAGCCCACGGGCCTTTTGCGGGGTGTGACCTGGAGGATGACGAGGCCCGACGAGTAAGTGTAAAGAAGGAAGAGGGAAATGGCCTGGGCTTGAGAGAACAGAGAAGATACTGGAGTGTTCTTTACACAAGAATCCGCCAAGGGTCGCTTCTGTAGAGCGTAATCTCTTGAGAGATTTTTTTTTTTACTTCTTCTGTGCCGCTTGGAAGTGTATGGATAGACTGCAGGAGCCAAGTCTGGCAACTTGGCATGGATTCCGAGTCTCCCAAAAAGCAAAAGCAAAGCAAACAGTTCGAGGCCAAGGTCAGGCCAAAGGTGAAAAGGACTCCCATGAGTAGTCCATGTCCCCAAGAACGGGCCAAGCACTGGCCAAGCACCAATCAGATGACAGTCGAGGGCGGATAACCCCTGATAAACCCGCTGAAGGGTGTCACACAGAATTGGTGCTGCGTGCAGAAGATGGAGGGGTGAAGGGGGGTAATTTGGGATGAATCGAGGATGCAATTTCTCGTGCCCAAGGGCTGCATTTGTTTCCTGCGACTGCGAAATTTTGGCGGCTTGAACGCCGTATGCCTGCAAGCTGTAAGGCAAAGTCGGTCAAGGTTCACTGCCAAAGTTCCAAGCAGGGAAGACGGACGAGGCGACTGAATGGAGGCAGCTGACCAGACGCCGTTTCATTTGAAGAGATGGCTGGCCGCCTTTTCAACTTGGATAAGTGGCCTGCGTCATGTCCGGGGGAAGTGGGCAGACGGACCGAACAGAGAGAAACGGAGAGAGATTTAGTTTATTTGTATCCAATCCTGGATTGATTGGCCGCGATATGTGTTCTTTTTCTGGTAACAACGATCAGGCAAAGACCCAGGCAAAAGATTTCAATCTAATCGGTAGCACGTCGAGGTTGGTCTGAAACTGGGCACCTTGAAATGGGCGGGACTGACGTAGTGGAACCCACGACGTTGGACTCGAAATATGATCATCGATCGGATAATTTCTCGTCTGCATCAGTGCATGGGCTCGTGGAGTGGTCGTAGCCTCGAAGGTCGCAGTCCGAACGGGGGATGGTGATAATTGTATCCTGATCCGTACAGATAGGCCAAAGGGATTGGACTCGAGCAGATTGGTGTACGCAGTACCGTTCTGCGTCTGGGCTTCAAAGTTCAATCTACTCGGCATCAAACGGCAGCAGAGATGCGATAGACCTGAGAATGAGACCAGACCGGGCCGGGGTGGAGGTTGGGTCTCGGTGGGCGGTGGCAGTGTTGACGTGGACTTCGCGGCGCGGCATTCTTTAGATCGCCGGCGAAGCGAAGTGAGTCTTGCTATGGCCGTTTCTTAGCTGCATGGTCTTTCTCTTGGAGCTTTCTTGGGATCATTTCTCTCGCGTTGGAGGTCTGTCTTGGCCAATTGAAGGAGATGTTTGAGGATTTTCTCGGTGGCCGAAGTGGAGGAAACTGGATAGAAGGTCGAGAACTAGTTGCAGACTGCAGTTGGTGTGCAGGTGTGGTGCCAGTGGATTGTGGTGGTGGTGGTGGTGGTGGTGACGAGAGGACGCGGAATCGGAAGACAGGGACTGGCAGGGGCGCTCCCTACCTCCATTGATCGCTGTGGCAGTGCATGGAATGTCGTTTTTGACTGGGGCAAAGAATGGGGATTGATCTCCACTTTCTGACTGGCGGCTGGGTCGTAATGTCTCTGTCGGCATGCAAAAAAAGGGGTGTAGGGTGGGTGAGACCGTGAGACGGACATGCTTGGGGCCATGAGCACATGGGATTGAGTGAGTACTGTAGCCAAGTACCACCTTGAGGATTGAATTTTGGCCGGTGGGTCTTTGTTATCGTGATTGTCGTCAGATGGATAGATGATGCCCTGCTTCGTGGAGTTGGAATTTCAAGTACATAGTAGCGGCAAGCCGGCAGCAGTAAAAGGCAATGGTGCTTCGATGGTGTGTGGGGAAATTCGTGTTCTTTTTTCGTCCGGAGGCGTGTTTATGGCTGTGGCGATTAAAGGCACAGATACTCAACAAGAGTTTTTTGGGATACGAGCCAAACCGGAAAGAAAGAAAAAACACATCAGGTACGAATTGCTGAGTGAGACTGGCACTGGGAGGCGGCGTGACGGCCAAGCGGCTCAGCGGCATTGCAAGGCATGCTGAGAAGTAGTGCTACTAGTTCGTAGCGTCTCGGTGCCTCGAAGAAGGCTGGTACCAAAGGCGATCGTCGTTTTTGTTGCGTTTCAGCGGGTTCGACCAGGCGACTTGAAGCAATGGGGATGGAATAATAGGATTGTTTCCAAGGTGCGACGGATGGGGAATAGAGCAAAATGTGCTGCCTCTCTTTCTGGTACCCATACGGAGTAGAGCGTGAGAGAGCCAAACGGGCCACGGCAAGTCGCAAGGCGGTGGTTTGTCGACGACGTGGACAAAAAGCCTGTGCCCAGACGCGCCGGTGCAACGCGCCCAGAGACGGACGCTGGACGACCTGACAGAATTACATCACCAATAATCTTTCTGCCCGTGTTTACAATACACAGCCTGATCAAATTGAGCAAGATGGGGTGTGGCTTTAAGAAGGGCCACCGGCTGAGTGCCTGCTCAACAGCCAATTGAGTTTTGCTCTTGCTTGCCGGGAACCCGATTCAGCTCCATCCCACCTTTCCGCTGTCTGCAGCCACACCCCTCTTTCCTCTTAGGTTCATATTAATGGAGAATTGTGACCCACGCCTTCCCTTCCCGTCCCCTGAATTGGACTCGCAAATGTCTTCCCAGGAGAAACGTCCAAGCAAGAGAGAACAGCTGCCATCCAGCCAGTGAAGGACGATGGTGCGGTTGTCTGACAGACACAAGGAGACACTAGAATCAATTAGGCGAATGAACGGCTGCTGCTCCTATTCCCCCCTTGATCCCTTCCCTCCCCTTCCTTTCCTCCCCGGGCGGCGTGGTCCACCGTCCACGACTCCTGTCGGTCCTTTCCTTGGCAAGCTGGCAAGGCAAGGGAAATCTGGACCAGGGCCGCAAAGTCTGGGAGGAGACTCGGAGACTGGGAAAGAGGGCGCGCAGTGGAGACCTTCACCTCCCACAGTCTGGGGGGTGTGTGGGTTGCAAAGAACGAATTCCACTTTGCGGCTTGCCCTGCTCCTCCTTCTTGGTTACTCGCTCGTACGAATAACTGGTACGGAGTACCTAGTGTACGAATACACTAACAACCCAGGTAATGTGCGAAGTACTGCGTACCACCACCGTCAATCACGCCGTTTTTTAATCATCCACCTCCCTCCTTCCCGCCCGACCTCTCTTTTTCTCTCCTTCTCGTTATTCTCTCTCAAAATCCTCATCCGACCTCTCGTTGCCATTTTCCCCGGGTTCGAGTGCGCCTCCCTTTCCTCTTCAATAAACCCACACGTCAACTCCCTCGCTTTGGTTGACTTTATTTCCTCATCTACCTTTCACTAAACCGACCAACCCTTTTAATCAACAACCCTTTTGGACTCCGAAACTTCACCCCTTTCGCAGCTCACATTCAACTGTTCCTCACTCTTTCGGAACGTTCTACCGCTTGGCACTTTCTGATCATCAACTTGGGTTTTTGGGAATTCACTTTGGTTCCTTCGCACACATATTCACAATGAAGTCTGTCGCTGCCATCTCCGCCCTCGCGGCCCTGTCCGTCGTCTCGGCCAAGCCTACTGCTACTGAGCGCGAGGCCCCCATCAAGGCCCGTTCCTTGCCCGCAGTCTCCGCCTCCGGCAACGGTATGGATCACCAAATATCGCATCGTTCTGACCCAATTGACTGACATGGACATGAATAGCTTTCTACGCTGATGGCACCCGCTTCTACGTCCGTGGTATCGACTACCAGCCCGGTGGCTCTTCAGAGAACGTCGACCCCCTGGCCGATACCACCATCTGCGGTCGTGACATTCCCAAGTTCAAGGACCTCGGTGTGAACACCATCCGTGTCTACTCCGTCGACAACTCCAAGGACCACAAGGAGTGCATGCAGAAGCTCGCCGACGCTGGCATCTACCTCGTCGCCGATGTCAACAACCCCAAGTACTCCATCAACCGCGCCGACCCTCACCCTTCTTACAACGCCGTCTACCTCCAGAGCGTCTTCGCCACCGTCGAGGAGTTCGCCCAGTACGACAACACCCTCGCCTTCTTCTCCGGAAACGAGGTCATCCACGATGAGGCCAACACCACCTTGACCGCCCCCTACGTCAAGGCTGTTACCCGTGACATCAAGAACTACATGGCCTCCCGCGGCCTTCGCCACGTCCCGGTCGGCTACTCTGCCGCCGATGTCGCCGACAACCGCATGCAGTCCGCTGAGTACTTCAACTGCGGTAGCGACGATGCCCGCTCCGACTTCTTCGCCTTCAACGACTACTCCTGGTGCAGCTCCAGCTTCAAGCAGTCTGGATGGGACGTCAAGGTTAAGAACTTCACCGACTACGGTATTCCCATTTTGTAAGCAACACGAACATTCCCCGTCTGCTTTCCTAAAACTGACCAATGATACAGCCTGTCCGAGTACGGTTGCAACACCAACACCCGTACCTTCGACGAGATGGAGGCTCTCATGAACTCTGAGATGACCGGCGTCTACTCTGGTGGTCTGATGTACGAGTACTCACAGGAGGCCAACAAGTACGGTATCGTCGAGATCAGCGGCAGCACTGTCTCCGAGCTTGACGAGTACGCCAACTTCAAGAGCGCTCTTTCCAAGTATCCCGCCCCTACTGGTGATGGTGGTGCCGCCGCTACCTCCCACTCTGTCGCTTGCCCTACCTCTGACTCCGTCTGGATGGTCGACCCCACTAAGATCCCTACCATCCCCTCCGCTGCCGAGAAGGTAAATTATATCCATTCTGTTCCTTGGGAAGAGTAGGCCGCTAACAAACCGACAGTACATGACCGCTGGTGCTGGTACTGGCCCCGGTCTCAGTGGCGATGGCTCCCAGACCGCTGGTGACTCTGCTTCAGACGGCGAGACCACCGGAGGTGTTGCCTCTGCCAGTGCTTCCGGCGGCGCTTCCGCCACTGGCTCTTCCAACGCTGCTCCTGGCATGACCTTTGGCAGCCCCATTGAGAAGGCTCCTTTGGCTGTTGCCGGTCTGGCCGCCCTGTTCACCATGTTCGGTGCCTTCCTGTTGTAAGAAACTGAAGCCATGAAGATTGGCCCAGCTATTGCTGGATGTACAAACGATATCCAAAGGGCATTTGCTCTTAATTCGCATGAAGCACTAGATTTGATGTATGGCTTGGCCGCTATTTCGTTAGTTTATCAATGACACCCAGGGTACGGGCGTCCCCGGCTTCTGAACAGTGAATAACACGGCATGGAAACGGTTTTATTTGGAGTTGAGTCTTGGTGCTGACTGTGCTGCTTTACAAAAGCCGCAAAGGACCATGAATCCTTTTCTATGCAGGCGCAAGATATTTGTACGTATTGTTGCGAAAAGCAACAACGATTCTAATTCATTTGTTTGATTATGACGTTGTTCTTTCATCAACTCCACCAGTGTGACCCACCAATCTCCTAGATGCATGATGTTCTGCTAAGTCCTCAAACACGTGCCCAATCTGCTGAATAGAAGTTGAGATGAGTTGAGATGAGTTCAGCTGAGTTGAGACTGAAGATGAGGAAGACCTTGGAGGTGAAATTGATGTTAAAGTCGACGTTGGGTTTGAAGATGAGGCTCGGGTCCTGCAGGATTCGGCACGGGACTTAGCGATGGTCTGTGAGCTTGCTCCAAGTTTAGGTCTTCAGGAGATTATGGCTGTTGTCGAGATGATGCTGAGCAATGCAAACAACCACCCACTGTGTCACCCAAGCAAGTACGCCCCTCATTCTCGGTGTTCGGAGCCGTCATTGCTGCGATGGTACCCAGAAGGCCGCCGGGCTATGTATAACCGCGAAGGTTACGAAGAACTGCCATAAAACTACTGTACATTGAAGAACCCGTGGGACTTGAGGCATTTCCTCTGGGGCAGAACTCTGAGACATCTCCAAAGGTTGACACTGAGTCGGGGCCACGGCATGTTGTCCTTTCAACCGACCGGGAAGACGCCGTAGACTGCTCCGGCAAAGGTGGAGAACGTGCCGTAGCTTCCGCTAGTTGCCGGCTATTTCGTGACTTTCAGTGCACGGCACGGAGTTAGGCATGATGCCAAAACCTCTGCTCACCTAGCTCAGTTTCTTCGGCGAATTCTAGGCCAGGTCTAATTTGATCTGTCGGTGCTACCGGTGCTGCCGATGGTTCCAGCGCAGAGCTCCCCACGGCAGGACTTTCTTTCCTCCTTTCGTCAACCAGGGCAGCTGTGACCAGTCTTGTTCTTACCTGTATACTTGCGACATACCTGGTCAAACCTGCCATCAGCACGGGACTGCAGAGGATGGCACAGCCACCACAAGCTTCAAATCTCAAGGCGCTTCGTCCCGTGGCTATGTCAATGAGTTTTCGGTTCCGCCGGGAGAGCGGCAGTCTAGCGGAAATCCGGGGGACGTTGCAACGGGTCAATATCAATGTGTAAGATGATTGGTGGACTAGGACGAGCATGTGTTTGGGGAAAGTAACCTCCAGGCCAATTGGCGTCGAGATCCCCCGCCCGAACACAACACTCCTTCTCTTCAAGGCATATCCTTTGAGGGAGGACCTGCCACCCAAACTCCCGCCACAGATTCGCTGACGGCTTGGCGGGGATGAATCAGGCCATAGTCAAAATTTCGGCCCCGAACGTTCCTGATTTCCTCGTACGGAAGTCTTTCCTGGTCCTTTCTGTCGCCGCGGCACAATTTAGGGAAGCTTGAGTTGTGTCTTTCGAATCGCTTTGCATGCCGAATATCCGGCCCCGCCCGATACAGCCAATGATTCTTGGCATGGTAGGTGTTTGGTCCTACTTCATAGGATCGAGTCTCCGATTGAGCGACAGTGACTTGCTTTTCCTAACACTTGGGTTCGTCTATATGCTGCAAAACTCTCTTTCGCGGGAGACCCCGCTCCCCAGCAGTGTCGCATGTTGAGAGCAGGGGAGACCTCGGTTTGAGGTGACCGGTCAAACCATCTGAAATACCGACTTCAGACCACATTGCTTCAGATTCAATTTCCATTCTCTCTCGATTACATTTCAACCAAACTTTGAGATGATGTTATAGTCCGTCGTTCCAGGAAGGAAGCAAAGAAAAGTGAAAGAACAATGCGCCAAAGAAAGGCCGCGCGGCGATTAGGGCCAGTTTTCGTGGCAGCCACTCTCGTCCTTGTCACTTACGTTCTGTTTTATCCGCGAGAGAGGCTTTGGAATCCCCTAACAGGACATCACTCCACGGCGGTGTCATTTGGCTGGAAAAAGAAGGCCGGCCTTGCGACGGGAGCGGCATCTGATTTCGAACACCTCCACCTAAACGAGGAACAATGCCAGGCGACGTTCCCCGGCCTGACAGAGGAGATTGACCTGGCCGCGGCCGAGGGAGAGTTCCAGCTCGGACTCGGCGACGCTTCCGCCTCGCTGCTGGGGCAGATCAAAGACGATAGAATACTGATACTGCAGGCGCCGAGACCTGTGGACATGTCAGATCAATGGATCGAGGTGAGTTCCGCTCCAATGCTACACACTTTCCACCTCCAAGCAGAGGGAGATGGAAAGATCTTGAATCTCAGAAACTAACACAAAAGACCAAGCGACAAAGCGCCGCCCTCCACCAGCTACACCGCGCCATTCTCACCTCACCAACCCCTCTACCAGACACCTACTTTAACCTCTACATCCAGGACACGCCCATCAGACATACCTGGTCCCACAGCCGTCCGGCGCGGACCTCGTCCTCCTCCTCCTCGTCCCCTCGACACACCTTCCCCATCCCCCACTTCTCCTTTTGGGCATGGACCCAGCCCTTCATTCGCTCCCTCCCGCACGCAGCCTCCGCCATCGCCGAGATTGAAGCCAGCCTGCCGTTCGAAAAGAAGAATGCCCGGGCCGTGTGGCGCGGCACGTCGTGGTTCAACAACGGCGCCAGTGCGAACCCGCGATCCCGACAGGACCTCATCCAGCTCACAAAGGACGCGGGATGGGCCGACGTGCAGGCGCTCGAGTGGACGAACAACGGGGAGAACGCGACGAACGCGCTGGCGATTGAAGATTTTTGCAGGTACAAGTACATTATCCACACCGGGGGCGTGTCGTACTCTGGCCGGCTGCAGTTTCATCAGCTTTGCGAGAGCGTGGTGTTGAGCCCGCCGCTGGAGTGGATGCAGCATACGACGCACCTCGTTGAGCCGGTGTACTCGAGTTCCCTGCTATTAGGAGGCCAGTCAGAGTTGCCCGAGACTGCTTCTTTCGAAGCCAAGCCGCGGGATGAGCAGCAGCGACATCAGCAGCAGCATCAACTCTCACCAAGAACACTGGAGCAGTGGCCGACGACACTCCGCGCAGAGGAAGCCAACATGGTCTTTGTCAAGCCGGACTGGTCGGACCTGGAGGCGACGGTCCGGTGGTTGGAGGATCACCCGGACGTGGCGCGCGGGATTGCGAGACGGCAGCGGGCGTTGTTCTCTGGTCGAGGGTATCTTAGCCCTGCCGCGGAGGTGTGTTACTGGCGGGCTCTTATCAAGGGCTGGGGCCGTGTCGTGCGCGTTGACGATGATGTTGGCCGGAAGAGTGCTGACGCGGTGAGCTTTGAGGAGTTTATCGTGCGGGCTGAAAGGGCGAAGAAGAGAGGTCATTGAAAGATTTACCGCGTGGCTTTTGGGTGAGAATATCACGTATGTCGACGACGACAACGAAAACCCAGAAAAGGGCGAGGCGGAGGAGTTTTCTCCGTCTGAATCTTTTCTTTGCGCTCGCGCGACTTATCACCGAGTTTGGCCATATGACAAGGTGAAACGTCTCAGATGAAAAGGAGAGAAGATTGTGGCACCCACCTGGGAAATTGGACAGGATCTATGCGATTTCGGCTTCCAATGAGCCTCGTTATTGGATCCAAAGCCGGATGTCGCGAATACACTTCGAACTTTTGGTCCTGAGCACAACGATACGAAGGGAAACGGAAATGGAGGTCCAAGGCACGCTTGACCTGGGGTCAAGCCTTACGAAGAGAAATCATTAACCAAGGCATCACCGAATTATGCTAGCTGAGTTCTGCAATAGTCCTTAGGATTTCACTCAAGATATGTTGTGAGGGTCTTGGAGGAGTAGAAGGGAAGGTGGGAAACGGGCGGATATGTCAACGAAGTAGACCACAAGAAGCCTCACCTCCGAGTCTCGATTATCGAAATGACCTCTACCACTCACCGGACAGAAAATTATGCCGGGCATCACGAGTCAAACATCACAACGAGACAAACCCCGCTAGTCAAGACAGCTAAGAAAATGACCGGAATTTGGCGAGAAGAGAAACAGCAGAGGATCTTTGCACCATAATCGACCATGGACTAAAGCTCCAAGCTTACGCGGTTCTCGGCACGCAATAGACGCATATCGCCTCGGCGCAAACGCGCTCCGGCTCCCACCTTGGCACCTATTGCCTGGTTGGATGTGGGAACTCCGGGGAAGGGCGAGATGCCTAGACCGGAAGGTACTGATTACCTCCGTACGCTGATCAAGTATTTGCCTGCCGGAGGGTTGACTTGGCAAAAGGAATCATCAAAGCGAAGCTGGGAATTTCATGACAGTCACCCCCATTATACGTAGGGTCAGGGATGGTGGGGGGTCTTGCCCAGGTTTCCATTCTGTCCTGGCGCCCGTGGTTCCGACATCCTGGGACTCGAGCAGACGAACGACATCCCTCTGGCGAGCAACGGAGTTTACCGCAGCTCTTATTATATGCTCGCGGGTGGTTTACATACTTCTGTTGGAACCAACAGGTTGGTGACTCGGGCATACCCATGGCCTTTGACAGGGTTGGACAGGGTTTCTTATTCAAACTATCCGCACGTCTGATCGGCAGCGGAAATTAGCGAGTCTCGGGCAGTCTTAAGAGTTCAGACGGACAGCAGCAGCAAGCGGTACATAGTCAAACGTGACCGGATAGCGAAAGCATGATTCCATCACTGGAATGCCAATGAACGATCACCAAACTTTCCGTACTGAAACCTGATCTGGATCTTTCTCCAACGCCTGATTGAATACCGGTATTCAATGAAAAATCCGTACCGCCGGCGATCATCACATGGAACTGACGTGAAGCAGAGGAGCGAAACACAATTCATGTTTGCCGGGCAATTGTGTCCGGACCTCGGTGTCTCCCATGATCGTCCATACCCCCTCACTACAACTTCAACCCACCTCGCCTCGCCAAAATCTGGGTCTAGGCGGGAAGCGAATGGACATCTACCTCGATGCATCTCGACAAATACGGTCGAGAAGAAACAGCGCTGCGTGCGTGCGTGATGGAGCGAAAGCTGCTGAGTGCCGATAGGGTAATACAGAAAAAATGCCCATTTCTGTTGTGTAACTGTAACCTGGCAAGAGATGAACAAATTTGTGACATATCAGCTTCCGGCCGTGCAGTGCAGGCAGGGCACACAGACATAGAACACGGACGCACATGCTCACTCACGACACGACACAGCACAACAGAACACGACGAACCAGCCTTCTGGGACGGGCAAAATTATGTCTTTCCCGGGAGGAGGAATTCCCATGTCTTGGTTTCAAACGAAACTAAGAAAAACAGCTAGAGAGGTATGTGTGTCGGATGAAAGGGGCAGACAATCTGCCTTGGGCTATGGTTGGGCAAAGTGGTTGGTTCACAAACTCGCAACTCACACTCTCACCTATCTCATACATCCATGTCTCTTCCTACTCAACAAGAGCATAAAGCTGGGAACAGGGCCCGAGAACCGGGGACAGCTTCTTGCCTCTAAGCTCTGGGCGTTTTCTGTGCGGCACAGTAAAACTAGTGCCAAACCTTTCCGCCCATTCAGATTCCGAGGGGCGGGACAGACAACCATGCAGGCTGGCTTGTTAAGTTGTTGTTGGTGTAGTGCACATGCACATCACGCCCCGCTGCATTTGCCTAGACTGGGCCTTTCCTTTCCGTGGACCCGTCCGTCACACCGTCTTTCGGGCGGTTCCAACGTTGGGTACGTGAGGCTGCGGATAGTCAATCATTGGAACTTACTTACCTTGGGTTAAGGTGGTGAGAGGCCATAGAGAAAGCATCTGCTTCACTAGCTGAGCAAGAAGATACTCTCATTTGTTTATGTATGAAGAAGGCATGCGTTCGTAAAGTGTGTGTTAGAGGATGCGACTCCAGCTCTCCCCACCTGTTATAGGCAAATCACGTTCTTCCATTCCACCAGCTCTTCTTTGTCCCGATGCCAACCAACTTACTTTTGCAGCTTCCCACCGCATACGGTGGTCCGCATGGTTGCATAAAAGTTCTGATCCTTGGAGAGGGAAAGCCTGGTGGTGGTATTGGACATGTATGTCTAGGCTGTCGGTTCCGAGCCACATGGGAGCTTTTTCTTCCCACCGCCCCTCTCTCTTTTTCTCGCGTCAGATGTCACACTGGCATCTCTTTGTCACTTCTTGCTTCTAAAGACCTCCGGTTGGTGACGATAGGTAGTCGATTGGGGAACTTCGGGCTTATTTTCCCTCTTGAACCTGCGATCCGCTTCTTGTTTCTTTCCATCTTCTCCCGCAGCTGTGGCACCCTGTTTTCCTTTTCTGCAGCCGTTTGCACATGGCTGAAGCAGAAGAAAAAAAAACACTTCGTTGGTTCTGACCTTCTGAAAACGTTGTGCATATATCCATTTGCTTTTACCCCTCCTCATGCAGCAGCCCACACCCGCTAGATGGAAGGGCTTGGAAAAGAATTACGCCAGAAATTACGACTAGAAAAGAAGAAACGCCTGTAAAGGTTCGAGAGATAATAAGAAAGATGATTCTTGATAGTAACTAGTAATCAGTCCCGGCGATTCGGTGACCCCCCTTCCTCTAGGTTTCCCCTTTATCGGCCGATAAAAAGGCCATTCGCCGTCTTCCATTCTCCACCCCTGCTGCTCCCCTCCCCTCCCCTCCTTGAGAACGTCCCGACATCCGGTAGCAAATCGGGGAAGAAAGCGCCAGGTCCCAAAGTTAAACACTTCTGAAAGGGGGTTCTTTTCTGTCAATCTCACGCAGGCTTTTGGCCAGTGAGTAACCTCGGAAGCTTAGTCGCCCATGTGCTCCAACGAATAATTAAGGTAAGGTATCTGTAGAGACTAAATCAATTAGCAGGATGGGAGGCGAGGGGAGGGAGGGAGGGAGGACCGCCGAGCCAGAAATCCCAGGTCCCAGGGTCCAGGGTCCCCGGGTTCGTGGGTACCTATCGTGTCAGTCAGACGACGCAGCAATAGTCCTAATGGAGGACTCAGTCGAGCAAACAACCACGACCAAAATTCCAAACAACCACACCAACCCAAGTCCCAAGTTCCAACCCGTTGGGTCTGGCAAGTCTGGGTGTCTGGGTCTCCCCGTGTTTTCGTTCCCGCCTTTCCCGCCCTCGCGGGTTCAGACCGACCAAGACCGACCCAGCTGTCTGGGTCCATCGCTCGCTCACCCTGAGATTCTGACACTCTCATCCACCCACTCACTCACTCACTCACTCACTCACACTCACCCACACTCACTCACACACAAAGCTCATACACTTCCCCCCTCCCGCCCTCCACCTACCTCAACAACCTCAACCTCGAGCTCAATAATCCAAACTTTGTTTTTCCATCGGGATCTGGTCTGGTGTTCGCCCTTATTTGCCACTGCTCTTGCGAACCTTCTCGGCTCCGATTCTCCTCGTTATCTGCTAGGTCGTTCGATTCTTCGCCGTTCATCTTTGATGTCCAACTGTATCCCCCGCTCCTTTACAACAGATTCGCAATTGTCTTAATAGCTGCGAAGAGGGTGGCAACTACATCATCATCATCATCAGCAGCAGCACCGAAACGCTTCAACTTTACTCCCCGAAGACACGTGCACAAGTTCCACCGCAGCGTTACAAGAACGACGCCAGAAGCGTCTTCTCCTTTGTTCCAATCATCTCGTCGGCGATCGATCGCGAAGAAGCCGACACAATCGCATCCACTCGTTCCATCCAGTCTTCCATGAGGCTGGCGCTCAACCGGAATCGAACAACCGTCGTTCCGAATCCGTCAACGTTAGCTCGCAGATAAAAAAGCTCCGGGAGGCGGATACATAGCGCCCAGCTAAAGTATCCAGCATAGCCCGCCATTCGAGCTTCGAGCTTCGCACCTCATCTTGTGTCACCTTGTTCATGTCGCAGACCACAGTCATGTCCTTTCTCCCACCAGGTGTCGCCGACGGTCGTCTTCATGGTTTCGAGTTTACATTTGAGGCAATCCCCGACAAGTCATCCCTGCACGACAGCCACATTGAAGTTGACGTACGTTTTGACTTGGACCCCTTATGTTATCTCCCCAAAAAAAACTAGGTCTAATTACCCATCGTTCGTCTCATGTCACTAACAAACTCCACCAGCCCGATCCTCATGAGGGGTAATGCCTGCCACGCGGAACTACTTTAGCCTCATCTACACTGACTAACAACGTTCGTGCAGGGAGACTGAATCACTACCCGACGACGTCGAGTGTTTTCCCAGACATTTCGGCAGGACGTATCATGCGTATCGAGCAGGCTGTAAGTATTCCGTAGCTTTACCCTCTACTTGGCTCGTATTCGAGAAGCTCACACACTCCATCCAGCCTATGTCTTCCCCAACGACCCT